AAAAAAAAAAACCCCCCTTTAAATTTTAAAAGAAAATTTACAACGGCCAAATTCAGCAAAAAAAAGAAACCTTTTTAGGACAATTTTAAAAACTAGTTAGAATCTTGATTAAATTTTGAAAAAAGTTCAAATTTTTAAAAAAGAATTTATATCGAAAAAGATCATCTGACCACCAATCTGCTAAATTGGAAGTTATTTCAAAAATGTCATAGCTTTAATGGACCCTCTTAAGATAATGTAAGGATTTGCAGAATAATTGGGAAGATCTCCAGTCATTGTCGATTTCGGAATAACGAGCGCAAATACGGTAAGTTAATTCCGATATTTGACTTATACAATTTTGTGGGTGGCAGTATACCCAGTGTTGAGCTGGACATTGGATATTGGACATTGGACATTGCTGCATTGTGCAATATATAAATCAACAATTATCATGTGACAAATAGCCAATCAAAAATCTTTCCCAGTATCACACCAGAAAGCCGTTATCACGTGATAACGATAAATTCATAAAAAGTTCGTTAAGGTTAGGGTTTAGCATTTATATTAGGGCTAGAAATTAGTGAAATATATGGTAAAATCGCCCAAGGAAAACTTTTTGTTAGAATACATTTTATCAAAAAATTTTTTTTTATATTTTTTAAAATTATTGGACATATTGGACAGGACATACTGTATGTCCAAGTATTATGTCCAATATCCAGTCCAGTCCAATAGCATAAAAAATAGTTGAACATATGTCCAGTGCCAACACTGCAGTATACCTATAACATAACTTATATTTCAATAATACAGTACTTCAATACTAATACTAAGTATAAAAATGCTCAATCTCAATATACTAATTCCTAATCCTAAAATATCATTCATTTATGTGATCACTCAGTAGAGCAAGAAACGTTCGTACGAAACTAATATACGGATGAAAGTCACAATTAAGTCTATTCACAGTTTATATATAAATAAGTCACACAAAAATCTTTATTTATTATGAGAGGAATCACGAAAAATCGACTTGAATTCAATTAGATCGAATTCAAAAATCTTTTATACATGAGGAATATCCATAGTAATCATTGACGCGTTTGAATAGATTTCCTTCTAAAGATATACAAGAAAGCTATAATCTAGCACAATCTAAAACGTGCACCATCATAGTTTGTAAGATAATATTATTTCCTTTTCTATGCTACCGACTGAGCTTTGCTTTCAATGATATCTCTCATTGAGATTTACCGCAGATTGTTTATCCTCCACCACCAATAACAACACGATTAATTTAAGAAAGATCGTCAATTGCTAAAGTAGGATTAGTGTAGATCTGTCAATAATAACTCTAAAAGATTATTCCAGGTGTTACCCATGAATGCCACGATACAAAAAATACGGAGAAAACCCATGACGGGGCATAACATATGCGCTTTTTTATTTGTAGTAATTTTTTATATCAAAAGTTATACGGATATGTCACTTATAAAAAAGAAAAGCAGAGAGTACTAAATAACTATACATGCAAATACGAAGTACATGTTTTATTGAATAATGATGTATTTTATTTGCTTATATTCATGACGATGAACCCTCTTTTTTTAGAAATTAGCCGATCAACGGATAAACACATCGGAAAAATAAAACCAAAAAAACGGATTCGTGGATTAGAAGAAAAAAAAAGCAAAGAACCATAATAAATAAACCCATATTTTTTAAAACAGTACAATTCTAAATATAGCGTTCAACTTTGGTCTAAAGATATATACCAAACCTTCATAAATGCGGGTTTTCTTATTTCTTATTGTAAATTGTCAAAGTCTCATTAGGGTGACTTGAATGTATTATATTTTTCTATTTAAAAATAAGTCACATTGTGGGATTAAGAATTTCATATATATTAATCATAGAGTTGTGTCACTAAACTCGTGAAGATTAGTAAAAATACATAACATACGTTAAATAAATACAGTCGAAAGTATGGGTAAAAAATAATAATAAAAATAAAAAATCCCGATAGTTTAAAGCTTCATTGATTAGCGTATTGTCTTGAAAGCAAAGGATCATAAAATGCATAGTTATCTTCACTTAAACCATAGTTGAAATGTGTTGATTGAACTGGAGTAAAATATGAGTAGAAAGGTGACTCAACAGGTAATGCTACTAATGGAATTGGTAATGTATTAACGTTAAATTCATAATTGCCACATTGAGGAGTAAATGGTAAGTTGCTATTAACGGGTTGATAATGATAGAGGGGAATAGAATTAGGATGAAAGGAAAAATTTCCGTTGGTAGTCATAGTATGTTCTGAAGTAAGCATGTCATTATTATTATTTTGTTCAGGCAATTCTGATGCATGATTGAAGAAATTCAAAGTCCAATTAAAAATATCACCAAAGTTCGCTGATTGTGAATTTGGGATCTCTTTTTGAACTACCGATTTTTCAGAACCAGCTGCTTGCATTTTTGAATCATCAATATATGTGGGAGGTTTTATTGTTGGAGGAAAATGTTTTTTTCTAGTACAACTAGAAGTATAAACAAGAGTTTCTTTCCTCTGTCTAATGAGTTCTTCTTCAACTTTAGCTGCAATATTTTGATACTCTAAACAAGAAACAATTATTGTTAATACAGAACTCTAGAATATAAAAATCTAATCCACAACCACGTAATAATCTTACCTTTTTTTACTTCATCACTTTCATTTCCCCAAGCTTTAGCTATTTGTGGGGATAGTTCAGTCATGGACAATTTCTTTGAAGAAGTCCTTAATTTATTGTACTCGAAAACATAGTAAGCACGATAGATAAGCCAACAATTTGGACCTCTTGAACCAATTTTTTCTGGATTTTTTTTGAGTCTTTTTCGAACCATTTCGAAGATGTTGATATGTGGAGGGAAAGGAGGAGTGAATGCAACAGAATTGCTAGAACAAGACAAATTTGCTTCAGACATACTTTTAGAGTAATGAATTACGATATGTTATGTATGATGAACGAATTTTTTGTTTTTTCGTATTCATCAAAATGATAATTTATACAAGTACTTGACGTTGAAAAACTGCAAGGAACGTTAGATTTAAAGATTATAAAAGAAGCACTAAAACGGATTAATTCCTTTTGCCTAAGTATAGAGATTTCCACATATGGATTTATATCGAATAAAGATTGAAATTAAAAAGCATTATGTAATTATTGACCCAATTATTTTTGATTTGTGAGTACAGTATGCATTAAATTGATCTGATCAACGATAGATCAATCATATATTATTTATTGTAAAAATTGTATTACATTTAAGATTTACGCGTAGCCCCTACGCGTCAATTAAGATGTGTTCACGTGATGTCGATCCAATTACAATGTGAAAAAAAAATTTATTTTTAAAATTTTAATATAATCGCATGCAAAAAATGTTGAACCCCATCGGTCCATCACATTATTTCGGTCATGAGCATCTTTAACGAATTTATCACAACGCCAATAACTATAAATTCCTACTAAACTTAAATCGGAATAGATTTAGGAAGTCAATCATTCTGAAAGACTAATTTGATATGTTTGTGAAGGAAGAAAAAATTTCCTTTGATTGATCTAAATCGTAATGCATAGATCAAATGTTTGCAAGGGGAACGGAACTAATATTGATTTGTAATCTACTTATGCTTAACTCTAAATAATTTAAATTCATTTTATATTTACAAATAATTAAATACAGTAAAATTTAAGTTTATAATTGTTTTGTTGGCAACATCACAAACATGAAAGCATTGATTTTTTTATATCATTTATTTAGTATAAAAAGACATAATTTTATCAAATCATATATGTTCTGATGACCAACACTTGATGTTTCGGCGATTCTCAAAATCTGATCCAACTTCTTTTTGTCTTTATTCTAAGTATTATTACATCTGAATGCAAATCTATATGTCATTTTTTGCTGTCTTTGAAACCTTTTTTTGTAAATAAGTTATTCATAATAAGCAAGAAATATCAGATTATGAATTTAATACAGTCAATCCACCATAAGAGCACGTTGTCGGAACAAATTTTCACTTTTAGAATGTGCACTTTTAGCCACAACTTCATATTATGCAAATTATATTAGACCGATTTAGTGATGTAGACTTACAAAAGGCGCATATATGGAGGACTGACCGTAACTTTAATAATTTAGGAAAAATCTGTAATATATAACAACCAAATATATATATTATATATATAACAACTAACATTTATCTTTGTATACTTTATATATATTATTAGTAAACGTGATTTTTCACGTTTAATAAAATGAATGATTTCAAACAGAAAAGTCCAATAATCAACAACCAAATTATTTTCAGACTTATAACCAAACTTACTTTAAGCAATGAACATTCTTATGCAAGCATGCCAAAGTGCTTATAATTTATTAGGTGTGCTTCATTAGTTAATTGCGTGTGGACTAATAGTACTCATTTAGTGATTATTATTATTATTATTATATTATTAACAAAATTAGTAATTATACCATATAATTTGAAAATAAAACACATGCGTATATACGTACTTTGATTATTTCAATCTGATCATAATGAGCCCATTAATCCAATAACCCATACGAAAAGGATGAATATTAGAGTTGTTAATGGGTTTGGTTTGATTCAACCCATTATATTAAATTAGACTTGCTTCAACATTTTACTCCAGGTTGTTGTATAGCTACTTTAGGTTGCTTCGGGTTGCTCCAAATTTAAAAAATATAATTTTTAAACTCACTCAAGCACGGATTTGGTGTTGGCTTTCACTTCGGACATTAGAGTAAGCTATTCCATTAACAACCTAAATAATATTTTAGGAAAAAAAATTATGTAATTTTTTTAACATTTCTATTTTTATATTTTTAAAGCATAACTATGACAATGATGATATATCAATTGAAAATTTGCATCAGGTCAAAATTTAAATATTTTTTATCTGACACAAGTTTTACAGCATTAATAAAGGGCTTATCTTGAGTTAGTGTTCCTACCTCGCACATAGGAGTCATAACCAACCACATCTAAGTTACTGACTCGCAATCCGATAAATAAAATCCAAATTTTTATGAATCCCTGCTTGCCATTGCACTGCCATTCGTATCTCTTTCAATGAAAACTCTCGCGTTTATTTATTTCTGCTAATTATTCTATTTCTGCCGAGGAGCCTCATGCGTCATGACAGAATATTTCATAACCTCGATCATCGTGGTGTTGCATTTACGTTTATCTTTGAAATATTCGCAATTTTAAATAGTACGTACGTACCGGATTTAATATATCCAGACCAACGTGTGAACTCATGTGCATGAAAATTTCAAACTCCGAATAACAGTTGGTGAATGCAAATTTCAATATATCGATTAATATTGTATACATGTGAGATGCGTTAGATAAATTATCGATTTTTGGAATAAGAATTTTTACGTACACGCACATACGTGCTCCTCGATTTCGTATTCTAATTTATCATTGCAAAGGTCATAGGTCTCTAAAATTCTTTGTAATACTTGATGTTCTGTTATTTTTTGTTAATTTTTGCAATGGTTGTGAGGTATATAAAGAAGAATGTTGTGAAGAATCAATCTAAATAAATTTAAATTTTAATATAATCATATTTATTATACGTATTTCAGTATGATGTATAAAATGACAAAACCACCTCAGAGTCGATTTTAATTTTACGCGACTCAAATTTAAACCTATGCTTATTCTAATCTTAGGTACGACATATACATTTAATTTCATAACAAAAAGGAAAAAACTTTCGTATATTCTCCCGTTTTTTGTTTAAAAGAACAGGGCATATTTTCGCCCATGAGCGTTATTTTGAATTTGGCCCGAATTAAGCTTAATTTAGGCCAAAAAAAATACGGTAAGTCGCGGGTTAGTAGAACCCCGCTATTGTAGATCAGTTTAGAGTGAATGAAATCCATTTTTAATATCGTTTATTACGTGTAAGCGATCACCATCATGTGAACACGCATGTCTTGAATGTGACAGATTGATCGACAAAATTAAGAAAATTTTTTTGCCTACGCTCTTGGTGCTTTAAGAAAAAGATTCTACTCATAATTTTGGTATAGATTATGCCTAATTCTTTCTAACTCTTCCCAATCTAACCCTTAATATAGGCTGATGTTGATCAATTAGCATAACCTGTCACACATTCAATGATCACAGAGGATATCCAGCGAGTCATTTCTCGACATAGCGTAAGGAAATGATTGTCGGGAAAAATTTATTCAGATTACCAAGTTTTCTCAAGATCCACCACATTTTAATTTCGAATTTATTTAAGGAGATTCGTTATGGGAAATGCCAACTATAAATATATTTATAAATGAAAATGCATTTATAAATGAAATGTGCTCACAAACCAAATGGCAACACGGACATTTACTGTATGTCTGCTGATCTTATTTAATAATATATATAATAATAAAGGTTTAAAATATAGTTCATTTAAAATCCTTTTAAATCTGGTTGAATATTACAATTTTTGGTTCGTTCAAATTATTTTATTTTGAATTTATAACTTATATAATTTTAGAAAATATATAAGATTTTAGAAATTTTATGAAAAATTTTATTTAATTAGGGTTAGAATTAATATTAATATATATATGTAAAATTGATTTACCCGTCGGGTACAAATAAAAATCCTCAAAATTATATATAACTTATATATTTATTTTGGATTTTTATAATTAATTATATATAATATATGTATTTATAATCAGGACTTGAAACAACTTAAAAAGATTTTTTTGATAATTAATTAATCTTTTAACCGCGTTTATTCTCGAAAATTTTAGGCTAATGATCAACAACATTCTGCCTAAATAAGTTATATTTTTTACTTTCAATAATAATGAAGGCGCCATTATTTGTTATTGTCGCCATTACTTAAATCGAATAACAAAACGATCATCAATAACGGTATTGATAGATAAAATTGAATGATATAATATGTGATTTATCATAAAGATAATATAGAGTAGTTAAATAAAAGTAAAGTAAATGAATAAACCCCCAAAAAAGTTAGTACGCTCAGGTAACGACAAATATTATGTAATATCTTGAGTGGGAGGAAGGGGTCTCTGATACCTTATGTTGATATCGATATATAAATTTTTAATTAGACCAGTCAAATTTTTCTTATGAGAGAAGCGGAGGAGGTATAATAAAAAAATATTACGTAATAATTGTCACTATCCTTACTGAGAATATAATATACAAGTTCCTCATATATCAGACCCACCCTCGTTTTTTACTAATTATTTCTTTTTTTTTTGGTGGAATGAAAGAGACCAGTGAGATCCATGAATATCCACAGATGAGAATGAACATTCAATTAAAAACGAATATTCAGTTGCACAAAAGTCGTGAATAGGATTAGGTTATTTACACAAAACTTGTTGAATAGTCGTAATAATATGAATACCCATATAAAATCCAGATATTCATTTCATTATCACTCGTGAATGACTAAAACATTCAGTGAATGGCCACAACAGATATTAAAAGGATCCCAGCTCCACCCGGTCTTGTTTATGACCCATACATAATGATCCCGACAAAAAATCCCGGAGTAAAAATCCCGACAACAAAAAACTATTAAGTTCATTTAAGTTAGGTTAGGTTAGGTGAGTGGCTAGGCTATGTTGGGGTTAGGGTTAGCATGAATCCGGATTTAATCATCTATATCCGGATTTGATCATTGAATCCGGATTTACAGCTGTTCTCATAAATTCTGGGACAAGTGATAAAAATTTGACCGATATTGATTCGGCCGAATTCGATAAGCTTTTGATCTCTGGTACATAAGCTTTTGATTTTGATATATTTTAGACGGTGTTTGCAAAATATGAATATGGGCAATATGGACATAAGCTCATGTTCCAAATGCAAATACAGATTTTGGTGTTAC